GAAAGGAATGTATTTGGGCATTTGGGCAAAGCCTTTTTAACTTTTCTATTTTTTTGCAAGGAAATGTCTCCTTAATAAATACAGACTTCCAAGAGATGATATGAGCTGTTTGAATCGTTTGAACATTAAAGAAAGAAGGATCAGCTCTGGTTTTATTTTGCAACCAAATAAAGAAAGCATTGTTCTAAAGTAAGCCCCTACAATCATGAACATTTATAAAGTCATCTTACCACAAACAGGGTAGAAAAAACTATGACAAAATGTAGCTCAGTTTCCAAATATTCCAGTTCATGTTTAAATAAACACATGCTTGGATTTCTCTCGCACGGCGCTAGGTTTGCTTAACCGCTTTCTTGAATACGTGATTCCAACTTTGTTATTCCACAACTGTCAATTTAGGTCCAATTAAAAAGTGGAGGCTTAGAGTGATGTGTGGTGGTTTTATTTTTGTAGCAATGTAGCATTCTTCCATGCAAAATTTTCAGATCACCTATAAATATATGTATGTATTACAGCAGCTCTAGAATGTGGAGAGTTGAAAGGGACAAAATCAAATAAACAAATATATCATTAAATAAACAAATGAACAATTAAATCAATTAATTACCTATTATTCATTAGTAGTAGTATTTTGCATCTTCAAAAAGTCTCTGTATTTATTCAGGGTGAGGACATCTCTTATCTACTGCTCTCTTTATCTTTTCAAGATTTAAGCAATAATAAAAAGTTTCCCTTCATCCTGGGCTTTTTTTTCTTTCTTTTTTTACATACAGCTTAGTGTTTTTGGCCAAACCTGACTTGAATTTATCCACCATGACAAAAACCGTGACTCGTTTATTCTGGCTGCAGCATGTGGAAGGACCAACCTGTACACCAGAGATCAGCTGCAACTATTGACATTTGTAAACACCAATTAAAAACTTATAAACTTGGGCTGAATTGTTTTGACTTCATTCATTTGATCTTATTTTTATATTATTAACTTTATCTGTTCATGATTTTTTAAGTAAGTTTAAGTTTGTTTTATTCCATTTCACTACAATCTCAAAAAACCTATTTTGGAAAACAAATGTGTGGCACTATTAGATATTTCTGACTAATTCATTGTAAGTTAATACTTCATCTTTACTATCTTCTGACAAATAAATGTAAATGCTTTCCCTCACTTATGTAATTCATACTGTTAGCCTTATAGCTGTCTAGTAATATTTTACTTTTACCCAAGATTTTTTAATTGTTCTTTGATGTTTTGCTTCTTTTTTATCATATCTTAAGTCACTGTGTTACATGTGATTATATAAGAAGAGCTCGATCAGTAGTCGAATGGACTGAAATGAATAAAAAAAGAAACAATGGGACTCCATTTAAGCAAGACTAGTTCACAAGTTTGCTGGTGCACAAAACTGTATGAACGTACTGCTCTATTTCCTGAGAAATCGGCAGGAACAATAAGAGAAAGACTGGATTCAATTAAAAATGTTTGTGTCCTTTGTCAAGGAATGCCATATGGCTGGAGACAGCAAGAGCACTCTGTGGGGCCTGCTCCTCCGTGAACAATAGCTCGACCACTGAGACACATCATGTCACGAAGGACAAACATATGGGGTCTGAAAAAAAAAGTCAGCATGCACATCCAACCCAAAAAATAAATTTAATTGCAGCAAATGATTAAAATAGAAGAATATGGGGGGGGTGTGTGTATCGTTTTTGGCACAAACGATAACACCAATCCACCAACCCCCCCCCAACCCCCACGCACACAAACACACACACACTTGGATCACTAATTATCGGGCTGTTTAGCAGTACCTGGTTTTTCCTTTCTCTGCTGGAGGAGGAGCAGTGGAGGACCGAAGGGAGGCTTTGTGCTTGCGAAAGGACAGAGGAGAACAATCTGCCATAGGGATGGAGTAAACTCTTTGGACAACCACATCCACATCCTGATCCACATGGCCAGCCTGGCCAAGTCCTTCAATGGCCTCCAGAAGAGAGAGACAGTGTCTTGTCCTAAAACTGCAGAGAACATTCGATCCTTCAAGCTGTAAGCGAAAAGAACCAGAATAACATAAAATGAACACGTTAGATTTATCTCTGGCATATTTATTTGTAAAAAAGCTTCATTGCATCTCAAAGTGAATATTTATGCCAGTTCCTCTTCTTAAATTCATGTCCTGCTAATTTGTAGGTATTGCTTGTGCTACACATTTGAATAAGCATAAATAAAATAAAATATGTTTACTTAACAGACTCTTTAGTGTGACTACATGGAGTAATCCAATTGTTTTTGTTCCTTTAGTTTTCTCCTGCATTCTAAAGAACAGGGGACATAGCTCCACTTGGTCTCTATCTAGACACCCTTAAAAGACAACTGCTAAATTTGTACATCACATGTAGCTGCAGAATGCCACGGTTATACGGCTGGACTGATGGTTTGTGCGTTTTTATCATCATCATCTATCCCATCAACCTCTCTTGCAGGTCTAGTAGATGACTGCTTATACTCTGGCTCTAAATGAGCTATTTTTCTTCTGTTAACTGGAGACTCTTTCTTTCCACTATGCCCTCATGCATGCTAAGGAAGAAGGATTGCTGCAAAGTCAGCGGGTCACTGCAATCAGCTGGACCTCTTAGATAAAAATTACCATTTGAATTGCCTAAAAAAACCTAAACTTATTTTACTATAAAAGTTATTCAAATTGGACAGTATGTTATAGAATCTTAAACTTAATAAAAGAATGGATTAGACTGCAACAAGCTGATCTGATGTTTTAATAATATTGGACATGCCTGTTTATGCAATTGCTGGGAAATCTAAATTCAAGTCAGTTGACACTTTACAAAAGGAAAACTTTTGTTTTCCTTTTGCAAATCTTGACAAATGAGGAGGTAGGATTGATAGTAGCAGCTAAAACACTTCTTAAAAGATGCCATAAAAATAATCCAGTATTTATACTTGCTTTAATATTTCAAGTACATAAAAGTACAAGTAAATTCATCATATATGACACCTCTAGAGTACACAAGGAGAACACATTTAATCGTGCTGACTAAAGTGCTCCACCATGGGTATTTGTAATTCTTTATGCTCATTATTGTTAAGACATTGCGATGAACCCTGAGGCAATGAACCACAATCTGTAAATTTACAGCTGTAATTTTGTAAATATGAGCTCATAAATATTACTAACATGAGCCTTTTGAACTCTTGTTCTTGTGCACAATAACCAAACCTGAGCAGAACCTCGGGGTTTTTAGCCAAACTGCTGCAAACATAGTATACAGCTGCTGTCATTACATGTTCCAAGTGATCAATTCTCTGCCTGCTTCAACTTTTTTTCCATTAATTGATGCTTAATAAATCGGTTTATTAACCATTTAGACGTTTGTCAATTTAGAGCTTTAAATATATTTCTTGTTTGAGGGTCAATGTATTCATACCTGCGTTGCATTGCTTTCATCTTTGGGCTTGCATTCATCCAGTAGTCCAAATATTTTCCCCAAAAAATAAGGGGCATGTCTCTCAGCAGAGAGCCAAATCTTTGTTGAGGAACTATTATCTGGCTTGGAAGCAGAGGAGACCTTCTGGCTAAAGTGTGTGTTCAGGATAAGCGGACAGCTGAAGCCTTCAATAGACAGACTCTGCCTGAAAAGAGAAAATGATCAGAGATGCTGTATAGATTCTTAAACACGGTGCCTTAACAATGGTTTCAGCTTCTAAAAATTTCCACATATTTCAAAATATTTTGCTGGGAAATTTTATACAAATGTAACATTGCTTCAATACATTTAAATATAAAAATCAAATTTCTCCCCAAACCACTGAAGTTGGTGCCTTCTAGAACTGCTTTCCATCTAGACCAATTTTGTGTATGTAGAGTGATTTTCTATCTTATTCTTCTTTGCCAAAGCAGCTATTAAGATTGGATCGTGAGGGTCTATAAACATCAATATTCAGGCATTCCCACTGATTCTCTGTTAGATCTTGACCTTGAGCTACAAATGACAAATGAGCATTTTATTCATCGTAGCTAATGCTGGTAGTTGATACTGCTCTGGGATCCGATTTTCAAAAGCAGGATTAAGAAATCCAGAATCTCTGATGAAACAAGGATTAAAGATTAAAAGAATATTTTGCAGACTGGTAGTATCTGGATAAAAAATTGACTACAACGTACAAATGACTTAGAAGGTGCCTGCACACATGTTTGATCCTCCTCCTTATTTTTGGTTTTAAATAAGGCTCAGGTGTCTGGCACTGGAGGGGACCCACCATTCCCAGAATCAGGCCAGCAGAAAAGTTGGCCCTCAATTCAAACAAAGAAAGGTCTCATTTAGAAGAGATCCATGGAGGTATAGGTTCTGGAGTCATGGACTCCAGGCTAATTTGCCCCAATGTCACTGAAGATGGAGAAAGCAGAATTTGCATAGTTGTGTCCCAACTTAGTGTTGGTATTTTTTGTAATGTGCCAATGCGCTCCAGAAGGTAATTTATCTGCATGTTTGTGCAGTCTACTACAAGTATAGCATTAGGGGATCCTGAATTTAAAACAAACAAACAAACAAACAAAAAAAAACAATCAAAACAACTGAACCGGGCCGTGCTAAACTGGTACTAGTTCATCAGTAGGGCTCGGCGTGGTTCAGCTCTGGCTCAGTTCTGAGATAACAAAGAGTGCATGAGCAGACTGTGTCCTCTCCTTATAGTCAGCCTCTGTAATCATGAAATTTCAGACATTTATAAAAATACCAACTTCCGTACTGTGCCACACGATTTTCAGCGATGATTCTGCTTAAGTGTGATGAAACTCAACATCCGTCATTGTTTCCTGCATCTGTAAACCCTGATTTAACTATCACTTGTCGTTTCCACTTCCCAAAAGCCGACTCTGTCAAGTAAATTCACCAAAGGCTGCCTTCTTCGCCTGACTCCGCAAGCTTCCTGAATGTTATGGGCACCACCATGTTGATTTTCTTGTTTACCTCTAGAAAGCAGCAGTACCCTAGATGGACACTAGGAGGCGAGGAACCATGCTAGTATGATGTGTACTGTAAATGGTCTTAAGGAACAGGGCTTGGCACGGTTAACTGATCCTAGCTCGGCACGGATCGTTTTTCAGAGGGTGGTATAAATGGGGCTATAGTCTTATTAATGTCAATATTTAATATTGTAGAATCGCTCCTTGAGGTAGGTGAACCTTCTGTGGCCAATAAGGTTATAAAGATTTGCGTATATCCTTTTAAGGTCAAATGCAAACCACTGCCTGGTTCTGCTGGAGGTTTCTTCCTGCTAAAAGGGAGTTTTTCCTCTCCACTGTCGCTACACGCATGCTTAGTGTGAGGGATTGCATTCGAGTCAATGAGTCGATGCAATCAACTGGTTTTCCGTAGATGGAAAACTTTGAATCAATTTGACTGTATGATCTGGTGAACTGTAAAGTGCCTTGAGATTACATGTGTTGTAAATTGGCGCTACATAAATAAATTGAATTGAAATTCCATTGAATTTAAGGTAAAGCAAATATTAGCTTTGCTAAGATTCTTAGTATCTACTACTACACACAGATCACCTGTGTAATGTCAAAGGCATGCCCCCTCTGACCACAGCCTCCACGTGTGGCTGATGCAATCCACAGAAAAGCGAGTGGAACCTGTCTCCTCAGCTACTATGCAATTCAGACATTGACGCGGCATTGTAAAGGAAGACCCACAGGTGTGTATGTACTTTTATGGCCTCACTTTATAGAAAACATCTTTGCTTCTTTATCAGATGTTTTTCCTAATCCCCTCGACAAAAGCAATAGTCTATCAAAGAGCTTTCTGTCAAACCTAGTCTTAAAAAGAAAAAAGAAAATAATCAGTTACAATGACCACGTGGTTAATGGTATAGCCCACCATAATAATGCTTCAATTATTAAAGTACTTCACTGAATGCCTTCACATATCAGGGGTATTTTAAAATTTGCTGAAATAAAAAGACCAAAAAATGGGATCAATGACAAAACTTGTTGATGTGTGATCAATGTGACACTGACTGAACAGATAAGGCAGCAGGGTTAAGTAGGTTGATTATCTGATGGTCTGGAGCAGGCCAGCCTCACAGAATAACCAGCCCTGGTAATTAAGGTCTGCAATCTTGGTTTTGTAAAAAAAAAAAAAAAAAAAAGGCTGCAGATGGAAGGTAAACATCTGCTACAGTCTGAGTTGTTTTTAATCATCTTTAAAGTTTTCAGATTCCTCTGCATTTATAACAATCCACCCATCCTATGAACTATTTGGACCAACTCCTCCATCCTTGCTAAAGAAACACGTGCTGCCACAGCGTCATGTCAAGGGTAACAGGCAGTGTTCATTTTATAACAACAATGAGTTTTGTAAATAGGCCAATGTTTCCAGGTTTGATCTCAGATTCAGGAAAAAAAGTTTTAATGTCAAGTAACTTTCCATTCATACAAGGAATTTGCTTTGGTGATGAGATGCTACATATAGAAAAACGAACATAGAGTTGACATATATAGATTTGGAGTGCAAGTTCTATGCAAGCTCACATGCAACATAACTTCTAAGTCATAACTTACTCTCTCAAAAAGTTGTTGTACTCTGGGTTTGGATGATGGATCTCATAGTGCTAAATAAAATGCCCAAACCTTAGAATACTAGCAAGTAAACCTGCTTTAAATATCTCCACGACTTTTCCACTGCTCTTTCTGTTTTGTTCTTTGACAAAACTCAGACCCCTTCATACAACACCTGTATTAAGACTATATACAGGTGGATTGGTTTATATTTAGGGTAATCCAAATAAATCGGAGCAAATGTATGCTACAATCCTTTTTTTCTGAAAAGCAATAAATATCTAAAAAAAAAAAAAAAAAAAACAGTAAATCAAAACCGGAGATGCATCGACCCAATAACTGGATCGACTATCAGTTCTGATATCAGATAATGGGGATCCAATCCAGTCTACTTTACATGGAACTGTTATTTCTCTGTTTTTGCTGCTTACGCGTTAACAAATAATATAATATACATTTATATCTATATTATTTTTTTGTTACCTTTTATTTCTTTTACATTTGCGCCAAGGCTAAAGCGTTCACTAATATGGCAAGATATATGGTTAATTAATTCAATAGTTTAAGCGGTTCGGTATTAGATATTGGCCGATACATTCAGCCTAGTAGGAGTCGGTATCTGATTGGAGTGGAAATAACTGGATCGGTGCTCTAATCTCTAATCAAAACACTGCATTAGTATACGATATATAGAGCGGTTTAGTTTTTATATGAAAGTTCTAATATCAAGAGAAAAAAAAAAAATCAAAACATTAATGGCCTTGTGTGAAAAAGTGATTAGCAACAAAAAAAACCTTGATTAAGAGATTGCTATAACTTAAGTGTTTTACAGCGCTGTGGAGGAATTAATCCAGAATGGAAGGTTTTCTACCTCCAATCTCTTGTCTTGAACAGCCTTTTTAATGTCATGCCGCAACATCTTTGTAGGATTCAGATCAGGACTTTGACTAGGCCAACCAGATAACTTTATTTTCCCTCAGCCATTCAGAGGTAGACTTGGTGGTGGGTTTTAGATCACTGCCCTGCTGCTGAATCCATAATTCCTACCAGCTTGAGGTCACATACAGATGGTCGGATATTCATCTTTAGGATTTTTTGTTAGACAGCAGAATTAATGGTTCCAGTTATCACAGCAAGCCTTCCCTTTCCAGAAGAAGCAAAAGAAAAAAAAAAAGAAAAGAAAAGAAAAAATCCCCAGACCGTCAGACTACCACCACTATATTCTGCAGTTGGTGTGATGTATGATGTTCTTTCTCAGAAATGAGGGGTTACTTTTACGGCAGATGTGAGAGAGGCCTTTCCAAAAGTTCCGCTTTTGTTTCATCAGCCAACAGAACACTTTCCCAAACGTCTCATGGATCAACAAAAAGTTTTCTGGGAGTGCAACAGCGATGCAGGGGTGAAGCGCTTGGTCCATGTACAGAGGCTTTGGTCCTTGATATGGCCATCACAGGTTCGATTCCCAGCCTGGTGACCTTTGCTGCAGGTCTTTCTCTATTCCAATTTCCTACTTTCAAAAATGAAGGCTATTAGAGCCTGGAACTAATCTTAAAAAAAAATTCCTGTAAAAAATTAACATGAGCCTTAATATTACTGTTTTAGTGTCTTGGAACTCTTTTATTCCCAGTCTCTTTCTTATGATGGAAGCATTCTTTGAATGTTGTTTTGAGGTCTTTGCTGCCTTTCTTGGGGCATTTTGGCCAGCTGGTCAATCCTAGAAAGGCTCACAGCTGTTCATGATTGATAGATTTGAATCCCTTTCTTTCTCATTTGCTTCTGAATCTCTTTGGATCTCATTGTGATGTCAGGCTTAGAGGATCTTTTGCTGTAGGCCTACTTCGCCTTTTCCGGAAGATCTTATTTAGTCGATTTGATGATTGATCAAAGGTGTGGCTTTAATACGGTGAACTCAGGTGTTATAAACCATAGTTATGTTTTAACAAGGGGGCTTGTTTTAACAACAGTCAATTAATCCCTTTTACAAATGGCCATGTAGCTTTGTACTCATTATAATAAAGCAATTCATTTAAAAACTGAATGTTGCGTTTACTTCTGTTGTCTTTGTGTGATA